GAGTTGTGTGTGTGTGTGTGTGTACCTTGCAGTAGGTAGGCCTCCTGTCCTGAGTTGTGTGTGAGTGTACCTCCCAGTAGGTAGGCCTCCTGTCCTGAGTTGTGTGTGAGTGTACCTCGCAGTAGGTAGGTCTCCTGTCCTGAGTTGTGTGTGAGTGTACCTCCCAGTAGGTAGGCCTCCTGTCCTGAGTTGTGTGTGAGTGCATCTCGCAGTAGGTTAGCCTCCTGTCCTGAGTTGTTCCCTGCTTCCCTGGGCTGTTCATAGCTTCCTGGACAGACTCCAGACCCTTCACAACCTTGAATTAGATAAACAGGTTCAGAAAATGGATGGATGGTAAATGAATTGTAATTATTTTCTGTTATTAGTTTGTGCAACTGTACGATCAAGAAACAACTTTTCATTATTTTGTATTCTCTTAAATGACCTCAAACAACAATGTCTATATATACGTTCTTGGTTTCACTGACTCCAATACATGTAAGTAATTGTTTCAATGGGTGCTCTACTTAATTTCCATCCAATGTAAATCAGCGGTGTCAAATTGTAGTCCTGGAGCGCCAGAGCCCTTCCACATATTTGGGCTTCTCTTGATTTAACACACCTGATTGAACTCCTTGCTATTCCTTGTGCTAATTACCACACAGCTCTTGAATCATTTATAGTAGAACAGAGAAAGAACTAAGCTACACAGGGCTCTGGCCCCCCCAGGACAGCAGTTTGACACGCCTGATGTAAATGCCCAATATTTGGTCTGTTCTAAAAAATGTTAATGGCAGCCTTGTTTACATTTATTCTTGAGACATCTTCATAATTGATTGGTCTGTTTCAGTGCCGCCCCACTCACAATGTAATATTCAGCACAATGCCCAGAATCGCCTCGCTCCGCCATTGTCTGCCTATACAGTAGTTCACGTCTGTGCCCGTTACCCCAGTTTAACACAGGGAGGGTGCCTCTGCCATGCTCGTGTGACTGGTGGTGACCCATTTCATTATTTTTAGGCGCACTCTTGTGCTAATTAGCTATGACCTCATATCAGCAGAAGAAATAAATGTTAATGAACATCATAACCTACTTTCCAGACCTCTCGGGGGAGAGAAATCCACTTTGTCAGGTTCACATCAGTGTGTTAAGTACTAGAGAACCATATTAGCGTTCACCTTCTGTCAAATACTGCTAATTATATGCTCTGTGGAACCTGTCATTTAATAAAATCCCATTGCAGCATAGTCATACAAATGTGACAAACACAATTTTTGTAGCAGCATATAACCTTTTTCATATAGGAAATGTATAGAAATATGACGTATAGATGATCTAGAAAAAATACATCTTCTTTTCTAAATGAAAGTAGAATGTGTAATGCTATCCTAAAATCAGGGGCATCAGTGGGGTATAAATACTCTGGCATATTCAGCAGTGCCAGCACTTAACAGGGGACCTTGAATGCGAAAAATTATATGTCAATTTGGGCGGGGCCAAGATGGCTTTTTGTCAGGGGGCTCAGAATTTCTAAGTGCACCTCTGCTTAAAATATCTATATTTTCTAAGCAGGTCTTTGATGTCTAGGAGCATATGTTATATCTAACCCCTAATAAGGCAATTAAAGAGTGTAAACTATCCTACAGCATGCAAAATGACTAAATGAGGATCTTAGTCAACTTGAATGATCCATTTCCCCATAAGCACAGCACCTCGTGCATGATGGATTTACTCTGTTGCTGTCACTGAAAATATGCAATGGAGCTGAGGTTTGGTCCGACGCCCTGAGAGGCTTTTTCATTTCAGCCTATTACAGTGTGTTAGAATCTCTGTAAATGCCATTTAAACAATGGCACTGAAATCCATTCACTGAGCCTGGGAATCAAAATTGTATCTAAACTAGGAGTGTAAGTGGCATCAGTTTCTTATTTTCCCTTTGTGTTTAAATTTGTCGAGCTTGAATAAGTGAGGAGAGTTAAACAACAAACTGCTTTAATTAAGTGGAGAAACTGAAAAAAAACAGCCAACAAGCTGGAGGCAGGGATGAGAATTTCAGTGTGTGATAAACGGCTGACAGACAAAGCACTTGGCTGGGGTCCTGATCAGTTAATCTCCTTTAGACTTGTGCCCTTTTCTTCGACACGCACAAAAGACAATTCTAAGCCAGTAAAACACTGAAATCTATTTCATAGCAAAAACACTCTGAACTCTCTCTCCTTTCACTACCATAGCAGCCATGCTATATGTTTTATATATCGATATTGTTGGTAATTTCTTCAGTACAGTTTTTCTTGGTTGCTTTATTTATGAAAATTGAAGGGGATTTTCCGAAAAACAAATTCAAATGCATGTTGTCAGCCCACCGAAAGGTTCAATAAAGCACCTTAATACACAGAATACAGGAACTATTTGGCTGCAGATACAGCTGTGACCGGATGCCCCTGCAGCGGCTAATCGAGCAGTAATGAACATTACATGCAAATGGTACCAACAGCTCACAGGCAGCTGCATCTCATTTAGTTCCGCCGGCTGCAGGTCATTATGCCCGCAGACCGTTAGCTGGAAAACGGCGTTAAAAAACCATGAGACTCTTCTTCTCTCCGGAGCGAGACGTGGCTGACACCAAGCAGCGTCCGTTGCCCGAAGGCTGCTTTTTATTTATTTATTTAAAAAAAACAGGAAGTAACATATCGGAGCTGCAACAGTTAATAAACTCAAGCTGAGCTGCCAGTATGGATGAATGGTTTCTAGGGGAAAATCCGGGAAGGGATCTTTTCTAATTGCTCCAACCGGGGCGGTAAGGAGAAAGTTCTTTAAAGAGGCAGTGCTTTGTTCTCGACCTTGTCCTGTGTATGTATGGAAGGAGCTTTGTGATGTTTTTGGATTGGGCGTTTAAGGAGGTGAGACACAGATGTTTGCAGAATCGCGGGACTTAAACAATAATTATTGTATGATAGGTATCCTTGCACACACACTCAGATAGGCTATACATACAGGAAACAACATATCAGCACAATACTTTTCAAAACATTTAGCATAAGTTGCTAGATGTACTTTCTAATGTAACAGTAGGCCTGTTTGTGGTTTGGACCCTATCTCTGTGGTCACTGGCTCCATGTTCTAACCAGTAACACTGCCATAATGACTACTGGAGACTATGTACTAAATGGGAGTTTTAAAGGGCAGTAAACGAATGTAAAATCTGTATGTGGCTCCTGGGGAAACCCTTTTGCTATGGTACAAGCAAACTGCTAAGAGTGTAAATAAACAAAACCACACAGGCTTTTGCAAATCTGTTTAAAATATTGTGGTGTGAGTTTGTCTATTAAATCGGATTGAGAACTTTCTCTTTCAGCATCACAGAGGCTGCAGGCCTGCATGAACCATATGCCCCTGAGTTATGGACCATCCTCTTTGCCTGTCATTCCCAAAACATCCTTATTCCCCCGAGTGCTAGACTCAATGCCCCACTGAGAAGCATGATGACTCTCTCAACCCCTCATTGCCTCTCTGATACTTTGTACTATAGAATATTATTTAATCTATGTATTATTGATTGCTCCACAGAACAAACCTGTCCCTGAATTTTATTTTTTTTATACAAAATATGAAACTTTTTCTTTGAAAAATTAATACTTAATTCATTTTGACAGTCATTTAAAAACTATTGTGACAACATTGCATTATGTAGTGGCTTCTCACTTGTATGCATAGACTGAGGCATATTTTAGTTGATTCTGGACAAAAATTAATCACTCTTGTTGCTTTTTGCCATCTGGTTCACCAACGCAAAGACATTCCAGATAAACCAAACCTGCGCTCTTATTTCAACCATCTGAAAAAGCTGAATGGGAGTAATGATTCTGGAGTCTTTTCAAAACAGCAGGTGTTACGGACAGCTTAAAAATAAACGGATGCTAGGCTACAATAAAACTGTGGAACATTTCGCATCTCTTTGCCACGCAGTTTTGCAATTACATGTCTGCGAGAGGAGAAAAGTTAAAAAAATGTTACTGTCCTAAAATTGGTTCGAGTGAGCTGAAGCCAGGAAAAATCACAGTCGTATTTGACTGAGTGGAAATTAAAACCAGATGTCTGAAAATAACTTGGCAAATATTGATAGAGTCGCATTAGCGTGCGGGCAATTAATCGCCAATAACATGCATTTTAAAATCCAGCACTAATGCCAGTAATAATATTTTGTGGGAAGTTGTGATGCACACAAAGTTCGAAAGAATATTTGAAGAGAGTTTTAAGAAGTAAGAAATCAGACTTGGTATAATTTCTTCAGACTTTGGATCGGGGGTCAAATATATTCAGACTGTGTAATTCATGTCCAGCAATTGGCTGAATCAGGTAGCCTATTCATTCAAACCAGCCACAAGAGCTGCTTTGTACTGTATGTAGACTGTATATATATTTAATCTTCTATAGCTGCCATTATCTTATATGCTTATTATCCAAAACTATCAAGTCATGTTCATCGGCAAGGATTACGAAATGTAGGTCAAGATTTTCACCCTGCTTCTGAGATCATTTTAATCGAAATGATGCAGCCATCAAAACACTAAGATGCTAATCTATTGCATGAAACTGGTAAATCCCAATCAGTAAAAAATAATCAAAAAAGGAATCTTGTCATACTGGCATTGCAAGTTAAACGAATATTTTTTCCGTCCATCTTTCAAACTCTTTTATCCAGTAAAGGGTCAAAGGATGCATAATTTAGAAAAAAATCACTCGGTTTTGTTTTTCTGTAGCTACGTTTAATAAGTTGTGTCACGTCGAGGTAGTTCGGACAAATGCAATCTGTGCCATCAAATCAAAATTGAACTCTGAGATCATTCAGTAGCACTTTATACCGTTTGGATGTGTGCGACAGTGCCGGTTCACTGGGAGCCAGAGAGCTCTTGGGATGGCCGTGTGCAGCGCGAGGCGTGCGAGTGAGGGACTGGTAAGGGATCCCGAGCCCTGGATGAATAACGGGAGATCCCTGGGCGCGCGTGCTGCCTCGCTAGCAGATGGACGAGCATCAGCGGCAAGGAGCGCTGCATGTCATTTCTCATTATTAATTGCAACTGAACCTCGACTGATCACGCGGACTGGTGCGCACCGGCAAGCATCGGACGGCTTTTTCAAAGTGCATTATATTTTTTGGGGGAAACGCGTTTAAATAATAAAAAAAACATAGACTTTGCGGACTGAACGGTGGATTTGTGCAACATGGTAAGCATACTAATTACACTGTGCTGAGAGCAGATTTAGCCATCACTATAACGTATAAACGTGCATTAAGGTAGAGCAGTATTTACAGAGGCGAATGCCATGCACCTTTTAAAGCTATTTAAGTCGCTTTCATAAAGCAGTTTATGTCAGATTTGCCCTGGTGTGTTATTTTAGTATTACCATTAATTACTAGGGTACCTCATTACAAGACCCTCTGGCTTCTGGATTTTTAAGAACCGCTAATTTTCGTACTTCATGTGCTTCTGAAACAAATTTCTAATGGTTTACACTGATAAACATGATATACATAACCATGAATGAGTAGAATGCCTGTTTCTAAACTGGGCTAGGGCGCACATCAATGAAAACACTATATGAACAATATATTTTGATGATCATTAATTCTGTTGCTGAAATTTTTGTATAGTAAACCTGAATGTGTTTATAAGCAACATCTGTCTGACCCTGCCAGACCATTGCAGGTAAGAAATTACCCTACATCTTCTGACTGCTGGACATTTCTGGCTTCCCTCACAAAGCATGAATAAAGACGGTGTTGTTTTGGACAAAAAATAAACTTTTTTCTCAATTGCGGAGAAACCACAAGCTGTAGGCTTGATTGTGAAAACTCTCCCCCAGTCTCTCTCTTCATCTACCCTGCAAAGTTTGGTTGGCCGCCTAAACGTGGCACGGCCGTGTCTTAATTCTCAGCGGTGGCTGGTAGCTGAGCGCTGATCTTCACATGCTGGTCTTTTTGCCTGCACGCTCGTATGATGCTATACATGCACACAAAATAGGTTTTGCGGTTATGATTTTTTAAAATTACATTTTAGTGCTTATAGCTTTTTCTGGCTTGATTGTGACCTCTTCGTTTTGGTTTATATAATGCAGAAGGTAAAGTTTGGGTGTATTACGCAACAGGAAACAGCTTCAAAGGCAATTTTAACCTATAAAAAAGGAGAGCAAGGTCCATTTTCCTGCAATCACGGCCCACTTTTCGTCTTTCTATGAAGCTGAAGTTACTTTTATACAGTTAAGCCGGTGCATAAATTGCGAGACCATTTTGCGGGTACATTTACTGGTCCTATACATAAAACAAGAGAATCTAACGTGAAAGGGACTGATCTCTCCACAAAAATATGTCCGTCGTAAACATCTCATGACATCACTGCCCAAGAGCTCGCTTTCCGCAATATAGCCCCGGCGTAATTTACATTTCGAAACGATGCGCAGGCCCTGTAAGCGTTTAACTAATCAGAAATGTTTACGCGCCGTTTTACTCGCCGCAGCAGATCGTCTTTTGCCTCCGATATATATATATATTTTTGCATTTGGCTCATGTTGAGAAATACTGTTATTGCGTTTTACTAGAAAGGAAATCGTTGGTAGCGTAGATTGGGGAGGTCCTGTGTGAGTGGCGGCATGGCTTATTGCGAAATAAATATAAAGATATACAGTATTAAACATTGATCTACTGAAATTCAATTCAATTCGATTAAAAAAACTTTATTTATCCCCGATGTATTTATAAGTTATATTATGTAAAACTAAGGCTGACAAATCATTTGACATCCTAGTGAAATCATGTAATCTAGTGGCAAGACCACTATATTCCCATTTAGGTTTTTGTGACTAGTTTCCGATCCATATAATTGTATATCACATGAAACCATGATAGACGTGTTTCAAAGGACAGAGTTTCGCCAAAAATGTAACTGTGTAGCTCTTCACTGCTTGCGGCCAGTGAAATGGTTAAAAACAGCCCATTGCCGTGTACTCCGTCATCACATTTTTTTAACGTGAACTGGGATACATTAAATGAAGACTCTGATCAAACCACGAGGACCAGACGGTCTGTCTAGGGCAGCATGTGGTTCACACCGATCGAGCCCGGCAGGCGCATTAGGCAGATCTCTCTCGAGTCTGGTATTAAGTAGCCTACAGTCCCCGAGCCCTGGCACCAGTGTAATAACAGCGCTGTCTCCAGCGCTGGCCGCCGTCCACGCACGTCGGTTCTGCTGAGCAAGACACTCTGCGGCTTTAAAACGGAGCTGCGGACCTACGGGGGAGCATCCCACTGCGCTGCCTCCCGGCTGCCAAGCAAGCTGCTGCTCGCAGAAAGCGCTGCTCTGCTTATCGTGATCCTGGTCTACGCGAGAGTGTCTGAAAGGCGGTCATTTGGGATGCCCAGCCTGTCCGTTTTCACTTATAAAGCCTTCTTCCCGGGCACTCCTTTTCTTTACCAGAAATGGCACGCCTGTCTTGTGAAGATGACTAAACATATTTGGCAATAATTTCACAACATTTAACAATTACAATTCCTCATTTCTGTTTTCTTTTTTTTTTTTGTACTGTATTGTTTTTTTTTAAATGTTGATTGACAATATAATTGTATTGTATTATTCATATTTTCTGGTAATTCTTGTTACAGTGTTTTAAAATGACCACTGAAAAATCTGGTAAGGAACACAAAAACAGTATCAGATTGTCTGATATCTAATTTGTCGGGTTTATTTATCTTTGACCGAAATGGTTTTAACACCCCTTATGTTTGATTTACGGGCTAATACCAAAAGGGGGGATGTGCAAAAAGCTGAAAACAGAATCCAAGAAAAGCTAAAAACAGAATTTGACCCCTGTGTACCGTGTACGGGATCTTATGACAATGAAAGCCTGATATTAAAGATACTGGACGTTCTATTCAGTGAGGAAATGAGGGCAGAAAGCATGACCAGAGCACTTTCAGATTGCGGAGACTGTCGCCAGTTTTTTTGCTTTCACCCCTTTTTCAGAGGGTTGTTTGGTGTAATTTGTATGAAAGCGTTATTGAAAATACACCTTTATTAACCTGTTATTCATACTGAAGAACTGTAAATTATGTGGTATTTTAGCATCTTCATCTGATCCATTCTTCTCTTGTGATAGGTTACTCACAATCTCAGGTTCAATTATAAAATTCTCATGTATTAAAGGCACCTCTCTGACAGCCCCATCACAGAACATATTGGAAAACACTGACCCCAGGCTAGGTGCTGCCTAATGTAAGGTGCATATGAATGTTAACATGACTGGTGCTCACTGTTGTGCCACAATACACTGTTCGATTTCTCCACAGCTTGCTGGAGACCAAGAGAGCAATGACCGCTGGAGCCATGTCCCCCCGCACACCCACAACGCCCCATCCCCTGTGGTTCTTGCAGAGATTACCCTCCCATAGAGGAAATGGGTGATCATCATCAGGTCAAGACTTCCTTCCTCTTCATCCAACTGCAGTCGCCCTCCAAGGCCATCGGGCCGTCGTGTCCTGCCGACGCTGTCGACGCTGCCTCCAGAGAGGAAAACTCCAGCCCCACTTTTGCTGGAGATGCCGAGCTGAGCAGCTGCGCCGACCGAGAAACCGGCTTCTGCTTGGATGTCCTGAAATCAGACTATGAAGATGGAACCCCTGAGTTCTTCAGGTCAGGCTCGTTGGATCCAGCTGGAGTTTCGGCTGTAGCAGAGGGACACGCCGGCAACCAAGACGGTTCACTTTTGAACACAGTGAGATCAGAATTTGACGGCAAAAATACGCCGCCGCGTTCTCCCGTTTGGATCCTGCGCCAAGATACACCTTCTGAAACAAGAGAAAAAGTCCAGTCTTCACCCATGGATACCGTGTCTTCAGCATCTTCTTCTAGTGCTATTTCAGGAGAATCAGCCTTGAACAAGGTTCCAACTCATGGATTATATATGGAAGAGCCAGTCAAACTCTTGGAATTTGTGTACCCAGCTGATGGTCAGCCTCCTGTGGAAAAAGCCACTAACGCGTGGTGCACTGATGTCCCTGGCAGTAACTTAGATGATGCACCTTGCGAGGTGGATGTGAGTAAAACAAATAAGACTCTCCACAGGGAGAGTAAGACCTTCATGTCTGCTGTCATGGAGAGGTCTTCCAAGATTCCTGGAAATGCCTACAAGAAGTCAGGGGATCAAAGCTCATCGATGGTAGAGACCGTTCCTCAACCACCTGGCATAATGATGCCTCCTACTCAGACCACAATATCAGCAGCTACTCAGAGCTCTACGTCTAAAGGTCCCTCAACAATGTTCAACCCTACAGTGATTCAGAAGGTGAGTCTTTGCAACTCCTTTGATTTCTCAGTAAGCCGTGCCTCTTATCTGTGCAACTTAAAGCACCAAGACACTGTAACATTACAGCATTCAAAACATGACAGACAGTTCATTTTCGGATGAAAATATTTTACTTAACGCTACTCCCAAAAATTTCAGTACTGATTTCAATAATAAATACTGATATATTTCTGTCCATCCATTCATTCATCCATCCGTCCAGCTCTTAATTGCTTATCCTGGTCAGTGCCTGGGTATTGGTGTATTTACTGTATTCTTATTTTAAATGAAAAGGAACACAATGATGCATGAAAATGCATTTATTCTGTATTATTTGGAGTATATACAGAATGGAAACAATGTAGTTAGGCAATACACAAATATGTTATTGATAGCTTGGTCATACATACAACTGCCCACACAGTAAACTAATGCTTCCACCCAGATGGGACGATTGCCGATTAGCATCCGGGGCTCGTCTGTGTCATTCCTCTAGCTAAATGGACTAGAAATAATTCCATCCCCAGCTTTTCCCACCAGGAAGGTTCTGCTTTTTTGAAATTTAAGAAATTAATGACATTTAACTTAGAACTGGAGTAGTCACTGCAGAAAATCACTGCATAAGATCACTGTCAGGAACTGTGAGGAACGTCTTACATGTTACACAGTAATTATCCATATTGAAATTGTGCTAATATTGTACCGATTCTTATTTTAATGTTTACTTATAATTTTTTTACCTAAAATAGGTCTTTCAAATGCGAACAGGGAAAGTTTTATGATGAGAGACCTTACTTACAGAGTACATTGTCTGCCATTGAAATATATACCTTTTATGAGAACTTTTGATTCAACAGTATTAACTGATATTATAAGTGTATGTGTGTGTCACATCTCTCCTGCCTACCTGTTAATAGATAGGGTGGGAACACCCAGACTGGAACTGGACCACCCCCTAGTGTTAGGTATTCAAAATTACTGTCTGCAATGTAAAAGCCAATTGAATATTCAGCCTGGACAATTCAATTAAAAGTTCAAAACTTAACAATAGCCATAGGTTATTTAACTGAACACACAAAAACCCAAATGTTATCAAATATAGTCATAAGAGAAAACAAATATGGCATCTTCTGATGGATAATTTGATGTGTTTAATCGTGATTTTTTAATTATCCATGTCCTGCTTGTACTCAAATGATGGATAATAGGCATAGACAGATACTGTCTAAGAATACAATCACATTAGTAAGCACTAACAGTGATACATACCTTTTGTTCATGTATACCTCAGTAATAAAATGTGAAATGAACCTCTGTAAACTGGAGAATATCATATAAATCTAGCTTTTGGTGCTGAGTATTTGCTATAATCAACATGTAGGTGTAAAGAATGAAGCTGTACACATATTTCTATAATGTCAGTATATGCTTAGAGGACTGGATAGAAAAATGAATCCAGACCCATTTTTTACAGTTGAAATCCAGATTGCATGTCCTATTTCTAAAGAAAAATAAAATTCAGTTGAGTCTCAGATTATCATGTGAAGCCAACCTTATATATGCTCAAGTAAAACTAAAGTCCTAATTCAGCACTTTGTGAGTAACGCAGCTGCATAACTTACAGACTCTACGTTTACACTGGATTCGTCCCAGAGTCTCCACCTTCACTGGTCCTCTGTGAGTTTTTCTTTCAATCAATCAGCGAAATTCTGCATTAAATCAATATACAGTTCACATATAATGCAGAAAAATGTATTTCTAATCTCAATAAAATGTAATGTTCAGCACTCCAGGTAGTTTATACACACCATTGTTACTGTACACTTTTGTTCAGGAAATTCTAAAGTGGCTTGTTTCATTTTGCCAATAATTGCCTTCCTTCATTTTGAAACACATTCATGCTGATTCCCCACATTGGCAAAAAATACATTCACAAAATTTGGCAACAACGGTTTGTTGACATTATAGTTTACATTTATCAATGGCTTTCTGTAATTTATAGCCTAAGGCTTCATTCCACCTAGATCGAATTTATGTTAACATGAACTAAAAACATAAACTATTCATAGTACAAATTCGATGTAGTACACCTACAGATCCAGCGGCAATATAGGAAAACCATTTTTCAGAAAACCTTTATACTATAGGACATATTGATAGCTTCATTGAAAAGTAATGTCATCAAAGACAGTCTAATTTTAAAGTAGCCTAATTATTTTCAGAATAACATATAATCAGTACATGCAGCATACCGTATGAACCAAAAAGGAAAGCTTCAAACGCATTTTATCTGTACTTATTGCATAAGTAACACACAAAGAACATTAGAGCATTAGACTGTAATGCTGGAAATATAACAAGAACAATAAGAAATATAATCTTATTGATTATACGAATAATAATAATAATTATTATTATTATTATTATTATTATAATAACGTGGCATTGTCTTTCAGCAGAAATTCGTTGAATGTTTTTTCTGTCAGATGGAGACGCTCAATCGTCTTTGCACGGACACGCTCCAGCATGTCGCCTTCTGTGCCTTTTTTCCACATGACCAACGTAATGAGTTGCTACTGCCACCTTTATGTCCCCGTTTTCACACAATATAACAGAAACAGAAAAACGTGTTAGGCAAAACACCGACAACCCCATTACTTTCAGTTATTCTCTCTTTGAGTTCCCCTGGAAGAAAGTAAAAACGAACTGGAATTAACGAGAAAATCCCTTACGTGGAGGTTTGCGGGAAAAAGGTAGGATGAGGAAACGCTTTAAAGGGGAGCGTACCAAGTGTCGCGGCGTCTGGGGGTGGCGGGCCATAGCAAAACAGATCAAAAGGCCTGAATAAACGGCGAGCTGGAACTGCAGCCGATGGGGGGGGGTCTTGTGAAGCCACTGACATTACCAGCAGACGGGCGCAGGTATGCTCGGGGGTTGCGTGTTGCCTAAACGGAAGGCACGGATTCACTGATTCACCCCCTCAGACATCCGTCGCACCAGACGCGATGCCGGAGCAGAAGGTTTACCCCCAGCCCTTCGCTCGGACTTTTGATGTCCCCTGTATCGGAGCTGTCACGCCTCCGTCCGCCGCCTTCGCTTCCCGAACTGTGCTTGGAGGCAGCCGCGGCTGTCAGCGCTGCGGTTTCGTTTTATTTTATCGTCAGTATTACAATGCCTTTAAGCCCAGATCCTTTGGAGGAGGCATCTTAGATGGTTCGGGGCTCAGCATCAAATGTTCCCTCTACTGCCAGGCGATGATGAGGGAGGGAAACTAGGTGACATCGCTGATCGAGCTGTCAGCGCAGGCTGCGCGAAAAAGGTGCCGCACTTAGTAGTATCTGAACACAAAGGCTTTGCACAGGGATATGGAAGAGAGCGATGAGGTAGGGAGCCGCCACTTTGCCGCTCTTTTTCGGCTGTCGCCGTGTCCGTGCGCGTTCCCTGGGCTCGCGGGGTCGTCGCATGTCCTGTTAACTGGGAGCCAGCCTCCGAACAAAGACAAACACATATCCAGATTACGCACGCTGCTGACCAGTTAGTTAAGCTGGCCGCTTGTCATGTGCACGACCTATCAACTTGTTATCGCTTAGTAAGGGAACAGTGGAGCTGGTTGGTGGAAACAGTGAGCCCGTGCATGGAGGTAAACGACTTTATTCTCTAATTTTGCCTATGAATAAGGTGTGGGCTGTTCTGCGGAAAGTCCGTTAGCCAAGCTAACTAATATTTCTTAATGGTATGCAAAGCGGTATATGGAATAAAATTGATAACATTTTTCCCTGAGCTGTTTAGATATGTGCAGTATATCAGGGACTCAGTAGCGTTGCCTCTTTTTCTGCCAGTCCTGAACAATGGTTATATGGATGTTATGTGCGTGTTGGGCTGTAATGCACCGCTTTTCGGCCGTGCACACCTCGGGCAAAACCGCGCTGTTTGGGATTAATACACGTGGGTTACACGGTAGCATTTCGCCGTCGTTTTAGTGTCCCAACCTGGCAGAGGTGATCCCATCCCCTGTCCCGACTCTCAGGTGACTGGCTGCGGCTCCTCCCGCGGCATCCAGGTGTCACAGCGGCTCACTTCCCCCAGCATCAATAATTAAAAAATCTAAATACCTTCTCATGGTAGCTGACTGATGCATTTAGGCAAAAATACTGTTGTGCATAATGAGACGTGCTCATCATCTTAAATTTTCAGCCGTTTATTAGTAGTAGAGTTAAATTGTAGATTATTAAATTTTACAAGGCACCCCATGGTGTGGGGGATTGGGGGAGTTTTAGCACACAACAAGCATTTAAAAGTAAGTGACCTTTTTGGTTTCCTTTCCCCTGCCCCTTTAACTATACCCTTAAATAGCAGTATGGACTATATTCCTCTTTAGGTTATGCCAAGTTTTGCTGAAAGAATGCTGTGTGTATCAAAAGCAGAATGACTCCCTGCAACAGGGCTTGACTGAAACCCAAATCACAGTGTGTGGGTTTTGATTTCACTCTGGGGTAATTGCAACCTTTCTGTACTTGAGTTGCAACTACAGTATGAAAACTGGAGCAGTAAATCTGTGGAACACAACTGCCTGTTGAAATAGCACCTCCGTATGCCTTTTAATAGTGGGTATGAATCTTGTTTGCAAGTATTACCTATCGGTAGGTAGGCTGAGGCTGGACTGGTTGATGTTAATAACCCTGCTGCAAGCTCGCTGCTTAGCAGATTTGATTGTTCTGACCATATTATGTTGCTTTTTGTAAAAGTATGAGTACAGTTATATGGGAACTCTTTGGGTTTCACATCCTATACCATATTGCTTTCCTTTGACACATACGTACAGGTAAGTATTGGCATCACCCCAGAAGGCATTTTTTAAAATGGCCTGTTTTTTGGGCAGGGGGTCATTCTGGCGGAGTGAGGGCAATTCAGGATAGAGCGGATTGGAGTTTTATTGCATTCCAGCTGGATGCCATTGCGAATCGAAGTCTTTATGCAGCCTTGAGTTTTGTCTGCCTGTC